TCTGAGCAGGCAGTTGAGCTAAGAGCAGGTTTAAGGATCAAATCCTCCTGCCTAACATTTCTGTTTCCCTCTAACTTCAGTTTCCTGCTCAGACCAAAGCAGCCCCAGATGAACAAAAGGTGTTTGGCTTGTGGGAGACTGGAGAGGACTTCGACAAGGTAAACACTCACAGCAATCACTGAACTTCACAAGAATTTAAAAAATAATCTATTATTATTATTATTATTATTATTATTATTATTATTAATGAATCAGTGATGTTTTACTAAAGTAAGATGCAGTTCTGTGAAGTGTTTTCTTCGATTTCTGACATAGACTTGCTTTGGTCAATCAGTGTGTGGCATTGCTAATTTATTTAAAACGCTAGTGCAGAATTAAAAAGGGACCAATAAATATAATACAGCCACTACTTAGTTAGCTCAGCACAGCATTTGGAAACAAGGAGAAATAAAACAAGGCGATTACATCAAACAAGTTGTGCTTTTATGTTGTTACATGTGAAAGCATTTCTTTTGCCAGGAGTTACAAAAACAAGCTGCTACTGACCCAGTCTTGCAATTTATCCATATTTCCTAATGTGCTGATTTAGTGATATTAAGATTTAACTACAAACTGTATATAAAAGATGGGTGAAGCCACTGTGTCACCCATTGGTTTGTAAAATCCTGTTATGGGGGATCAGTTTTAGCATTTTGGCCACCGTATCTTGTTTGTTTATTTTCTGCCATCCCCATCTTGGCTCACGGTCTCATTGGCTCACGTCTTGTCAGTCACAAGTGATTAGCTAATCCCAAGGATAAGCCTCCTCTCTGAGACATAGTATGACCAAAATTTCCCAAAGTGAACCATATTTTTCTTTTATGCAAGATGACCTCAGATGAGTGACTGAGCCCATTAAACTAAAAACATGATTACAGGGAGCAGAGGGGCGTTTTCCTTGAAACTTGTATAGGATTGGAAGTCAGTGTCCATTAGAAGGAATGAAGGTTTAAGGCACTTCTGTGCAGTTTCACACTTTAGACCCAGAAGCTCTGTACGTCCTTTATACCACCAGTGCGCCCAAGCAAACCTCTGATGTATTTACCACCTTGTTATATGTTGGTAGTCTGCTTACTTCAGGTGTTTCAGCTGCAGTCTGCAGAGTTGAATTCATACTTCTGTGTGGTTTTGTTCTCCCTGCAGCACCGCCGGCTGCTCTATGATGTGTTCACCAAGAACTACCGGGTCAGGAGGAACATAATCCAGGCCAGACTGGCTCAGGAGCTTGGAGACGTGTCTAAAGCCGACATCGACCGGCTGCTTAATGTGAGCCCAGTTCTGAGTCTCAACATCTGCCTTTCAACCAGATGTTGTCCACTGATCTAACCTGTTGTCTGGTTTTCAGGAGTGCTGCAGCAGCCACGCAGGGATGTGGTACCTAAAGGGAACAATTCAGTCCTGACCCCGGGAGCTTCCCCCCATGCAGTCACCCCCAGCCAATCATATCCACTCTCAGGTGTCCCGCAGGAGGGCAGTGGAAAGATGAGAGCCAATCACAGCAGCTCGCCCCGCTCTGAGAGTGGGCGACTAGAGGACAAAGCTGTGCTCAGAACAAGAAGCTTTTCTCATTTCAGCTGAAGCATTTCTGATCTTCGTGTGAGCGCCCCGACTCAGTGGGAGGACTGAAGCTCCCCACGCACTCTGACAGCTCGAAAGCCTGAGAGGGAGGAAATAAATGAAGAACTAGAAAGATGAATATTTGCGGTTTATTGGTAGTTTTTTGTTTGTTTTATTGCATTTGTGACCTGAAATCGGATTATTCTTTAGCTAAACCTTTTCCACATCAGTTTGCTGTTTACAATTGAAAGCAGCTGTGGCTCCGAGTGCTTTCACTTCACCCCTCCTTGTAAATCTCCTCAGAGAAAAAACACATTTTACTTTATTGCTTCACCAACAAGGCAAATGTTGTGTAAGGCCTTTTAGGCACCAAAATTCTCCCTTAGTTTTTACAATTTCACCAATCTGACTTTAAGGAGTATCAGCTGAGTATGATATTTTTATTTATTACATAAAAGAGGAAGGGTGGGTTTAAAGGCTTCAATGCTTAGATAAAATATGGCCGAATACTGTAAGAAAAAAACCAAACCAAGCTAAAGTGTTAATGAACTGAAATCTCTGATGACTTTGGCAATCGTGGACCTGAAAGCTGCTTCATCAAATATGGTTTCCTACATTTCTGTTATTCAGTCACACGTACTGATTTCTAAACTTTTTAATGAATGTCGAGGTTTTTGTTGGCTAAATGTAGAGTTTCAGATTTTCCTTTCTTTGAGAGGAGCTTTGAGTGACCGATTTCTTGATGAGAACCAATAAAGATGTGATTTGGAATAAAATGTAGATCTGTCTCTGTGCAAACACCAGTCCAGCACACAAACACTGGACCTTCCTAAGTGGCGATGCGGCTGATACGCCCATGCTATTGCCACGTGCTGCTATCTTGAGCCTCCGTCTAAAGTGCCTCTGCCTCACAAGGCATTCAGGACAAACTCCAACCCTTCATATGAGGTAACGCTTTGATTTCCAACACATTGCATTTGTGGACATATGAGCTGAAATTCAAGCCAAATCTGATTTCCTCCATCATCAAATATTCCAAGTCATATTTTTTTTTATTGGTTTGTTATTTTGCTCAATAAATACTTTAAATGTTTGATGCCTTTTGTCATTATTGCTGTAGTTTTTTGTGAAATGTGGAACAGGCATTGCTGTATATGGATTTCTTCCAGGTACCAAATCCAAATCTTTAATATGTGTGGTTCATTTATTTGAAAATACAGAAAATTTACATTTATTGCCAAAGGTGCTCTTTTAACACAACTTACAGACCTGGTGGGAAGACATTAATGCAGTGGATGGCTTTGATTTGATTTTTCACTCACTTTTTTTTTTACAACACTAAGTCTTTAAAGGAGGCAGTTTTTGGTCATTTCTAGCTCCATTTATTATCCCTCAAAACTCTTCCAAAATATGCAGAAGCTCATGTTTTTTTTTCTCTTTATTATGTCCAGCAGGATACTAAAATAGTATTTTTTATAGTTTACAAAAACAATCACTGAGGTACATACTGTCTCCCACACCTGTCACTTTGACCTTGCTGAGGTCCAGTGTGGGTGCCACGCCCACGTTGAAAGGGCTCTTGGGAATGATCTCCACCATAGGACACAGGAAATTCACAGGAAAGGGAAGCGATCCTATTTAATATGACGCACATGTAACCAACTATAAAGATCTAAAAGTGAATTACAACACAATAACTACTTGGGATAGTAATAAGACCCTGGCCAGAATCAGAGGAAACCAAATTTGTGAGGAGCCAAAGTGTTGAGCAGCAATAATGACTCTTCCGATGTTTTACATAGGTTTACCGGCACCATAACGTTTTTCCAAGGGATGGAAGCCATGTTCACGGTTAATCACGTGACCTTTTGAATGCGCCTCAAGTGTGTCTCGCTGTTCCCCGTGTACAAGCCTTGAAGCAGGCAGTGTTGGCAACTTAGCGACTTTGTCGCTATGTTTAGTGAGTTTTCAGACCTCCCCCAGCTGCTATCAGGGCAGGAGATATGCACACCTATGCGTCCAAGCTGCAAATGGATCGCGCATGAACGAAGCCGCTGCTCCCGCACTGACTGTAACGCAGTCAGTTCTTCTTTTACTGTTATGTTGTTTTGTAGATCACAACTACTACTACTACTTATAAACACACACACACACACACACACAAACACACATACACACACACAAAGTAACCAGAGTGCCTATTTCGGGTCACTTTTGCCGGTCCAAGCCCGGATAAAGGAGTAGGGTTGGGATTGTGACATTAAAAAAGCCAATAATTGGTAAAAGAAATGTAATTTGTAGCTGTAAATAAATTGGAAATGCATT